GGGGGGGGGGGGGCTCTGGTTATCCCGGCACGAAGGGATGGCGGAGCGACTCTCTCGGACAAACTAATTTCTGTGTGTAGCGACACAGGAATGTGTTTCGTCGGGTTGGTATATGTGATTGCTGTATTCTCTGGCACCTGTCCGGAGGAGAGGCACATGGGGGTGGTGGCGGAACAGCCATCGGATGGCGGAGATACCCCGGCTTCGACGTGGTACTATCTGTTGCTTACCATAGTCTCTGAGCATGATATTTCTGGCATTTGTCAGCAGAACTCGTAGACTACGTACATGTACGATACGAGTCAGAGAGTTGAGCCCTGTCCCTATACGCGGTTTGTAAGCCCATGTCATTGCAAGCCACGCTGCCACTGCTTATTGTTGATAACCATTTGTTCGAGGGGCGTTCCTCGGTTCCTCTGTAGGTTGTTTTGTTGCAGGAATACGATCCGAGCTTCTCGTTTGATTACCATAGGTTGCACAAGATGTCACACCCCCTGGACTGATTTTCAAAGGTTGGTTACTCGCCAAGGAAAGAAGTGACGGTGCCGAAAATATCGGAGTTGGAACAACAGTGCCGTCGAGAGTTTTCCGAACACGTACCGTTTGCCTTTGGCATCCTCTTGGTCGCGGAGTAATCGAGCTCTGAAAATCTGTCTAGGGGATGTGGTATCTTATGCAACCTACGGTATGTGAAAATTTGTCTAGACTACAGAGTACAACAAGGCTCTTGATTTCTTTTCTGGTGTTGACGTTGGACGATGTCAGGTGGTGGCGCAGTCGGAAGGAATTGTCTGTCCCTCAGGATACAAATTACTCTAGTTTAGCCTATACACCTACCATCCCTCCTTGCCCGATAATCACGGATGTCGGTGACGGCTGTTGTGTCATCGTGTACAAGTGGTGTACGTTCTCGATCAATATTTTCGGGGTACTAGGTAGATTTGAGGATGACTAGTCTACTGACTGTCTGCCGGCCTGTGGGTCTTCGTAATGTATTCTCCTTTGAGGTGGTTGGCATGCGACCACGGAAGGCGTCCTACACAGCAACGAATCTTTGACGGTACTGACAGCAGAGGCCAGAACGGCCTGTGGGTCTTCGTAATGTATTCTCCTTTGAGGTGGTTGGCATGCGACCACGGAAGGCGTCCTACACAGCAACGAATCTTTGACGGTACTGACAGCAGAGGCCAGAACGGCCTGTGGGTCTTCGTAATGTATTCTCCTTTGAGGTGGTTGGCATGCGACCACGGAAGGCGTCCTACACAGCAACGAATCTTTGACGGTACTGACAGCAGAGGCCAGAACGGCCTGTGGGTCTTCGTAATGTATTCTCCTTTGAGGTGGTTGGCATGCGACCACGGAAGGCGTCCTACACAGCAACGAATCTTTGACGGTACTGACAGCAGAGGCCAGAACGCTGAGCTGCTCGTAGTTTGTACGTGAAGCAAACTATATCCAGCAGTACATCACGAGTGCGGGGCGTAGATTTCCTCCACCAAGATTTTGAGGCCCGATTTTGAGGGGGGCGACTACTTGCATTCCATGGGTTGTAAAAGAGAACCACAGTACCTTCTCCCTTCTTCCCCTCGCTCCTCGACGAGCTTTTGCTTAGACATGGGTTGTAGTGAAGGGGGGGGTCTTTCTGGCGAGCAGGGCTAGACTCACCCTCAAGGGATGACCGAAACCTTCTTGCTGCTGCGCATATCCGCCGCGAGGCATGCGCGTGGTGGTGTAGTTGGGTCGGCACTGATGGGGTCAGGCGAAAAAATGTAGATGCGCGGGCCTCTGGCCGTCGGCGTAGGCAGCGATGCCCATCTCATTTTTTGTGCGCGGAGGCAGACACCGTCAGAAGGTGGACGGGAACTATGTACACGGCCCTAGGTTGGCTAGAGGGCGCTGCATTGCCTCAGTAACCTGGCTTCGCCATCAAAGGAGGAGGGAGCAGGTGGCGACGAGCTGAACTGGGCTGGTTGACCCCTTCGGCGCGAGAATTTTTATTTTTCAGACCAAGAACCTTGAGTGCAACGAGGGAGAAAGCGAGGAACCGACTGGGAAGGACAGCAACGAGAGCGTGTACGGACGGAGCAGGTCGAGTGGCGTTATGCTCGGGCTGACTACAGCGGCGCCGGACGGAGCAGCGGCACCGGAGCATGCGGGCGACATCGACCCGTGGCGCACGGACAAACATTTATATCTTATCTGTGTTGTCAATTTTTCTCGTTTTTTTCCTGATTTTCGGTGTTGGTTCTATGTGATGATGACGTCGTCACTGGTTTTGTAGAGAGACCCGTCGATGGCGTGGCTAACCCGGGTGCCTTGGTT